CCTGGAGGAGGTGGATGTCAGGAACTGCCATCGGACGGAAGGGAGGTGAAAGGGCTCACACAGGTTGGGAGAGACGCAGCAGCTGAAGAGGAAACCAACAGGGAGGTGAAAGGGCTCACACAGGTTGGGAGAGACGCAGCAGCTGATGAGGGAACCAGCAGGGGAGAGGAGCTGAGCTGGAGGGATGGCTCAGAGATACTTCAAGCGAAAACAGTGGAGAGGTTTCCAGGACCTCCTGTAAGAACACCCACTCCTCGCCGGAAACTGTCACGCAGAGATTCCAGAAGACGTGTTTCCGTTAAGGAGCTTTTATGTTGGAAGCGATTACGAAAGCAACCACTGTCGGAATCTGCTAGTGACTAGAGTAGCCATGTCTGAGGGGCTCTGTCACAGACAGAGGTTTGTGGACTTGAACAAACTCTGAGGGGATACGATTTTACGCACAAGCAGCTCATCATCCCATCACAGCTACCATGAAGTATTTTTTTTGGAAGTCATGAAAAAAGGTCTCAGGGTAAATAAGCAAGTCTGAATGTGAATTAGATTTGCAGTACAGACTGCCTTAATTCACCTTCCGGCCTGGCATTTACCATATTTTTTCATGTATAACCTGCCCCCACGTATAAGACACCCCCTATTTTGGGGGACTCCAAATTGAGAAAATGGGGGGGGGGAGATTGTATCTGTGTATAAGACGACCCACAAATTTGAACCTATTTTTAAAAATAAAAAACCCTAGTCTTATACACGGAAAAGTACGGTATCTCTTGAGGCTGTCAGCCAACCTTTTCTCTTGGGCCCAGAGTCCTCAGCTCCCTTGGCCAGAGCAGCTGCCCCTTTAGACATCTCTGACAGTCGCTCAACAAGGCAGGGAGCTTCAGATCAGGAATGCTGTCCTGCCAACCTCACGGTTCAGGCAAGAGACCCCAAGCGCATAAAATTCAAATCTTTCATACATTTCCCTACATAGAATCCTGGAATTTGGGAGTTGGGTCATCTCAAGTAAAGCATCTATGGCAGATGTCCATCCAACCTCTGCTTAGAAACCTCCAGAGGAGGAGAGTCCACGTGGAACATGTCTGCAGTTACACTGGCTCTGTGTTTATTCATTCTTCCCCCTCTTATCTTCTCAGCAGTTTCTAACCAGCGCCACGCTCTCTCCAACTGAATGGTCTCCTGCCCCTTGCCTTAGTTTCCAGGTTCCCCATTTCAATGGTCACCGAACCACAGATTTAATCCCACAGCTGCCACACCTCACTGACTTCCCCAAACTTACTCAACCGCATATTCTTTAACGTGTAACAATAGCATGCTAATGCAAGCATTGCCATTTTTTTCGTAATTTTCCAGAACTCTCTCTTTCTCTCCCGCTCACTCCATTTCCATGCTGACAAGGACTGAACAGGAACGCATGGACTATGCAGAATTAGATAAATTAACAGGAAAGGTTCAAAACCTGCGAGACCAGAGATTCTTAGAAGACTGGAGTAAATATGTGAACTATTTGAAAAGTAATTGTAATGAACAGATCACGCTAGTAGGACTGCAAGAAGTTCTGTAAGGAGGACGATTTGGAATATTGCAAGAAAGACTACGAGGAGAGTTATTAGTTAATGATAATTAAGAGTAACAGAGAAATTAAGAAATGCAGAATAAGTGATTGTATAAGATAAGAAGTTAAGTTATATGGTTGTTGGAAATGATGTTTAAAAAACCCCAATAAAAATTGTGTGTTTGTGTGTGTGTGTGTGTGTGTGTGTACTGAACAGGAACGCTTTTGCGCCACTCATGTTCCCCCGCCACGGCCATTTGAGGAAGCGCATGGAGCTCTCTGGCCAACAGGGCTCTTGATTCTTCTGAAGGCCTCCTCTCAGCATTCCTGGCTGGCTCTGAGCCCACCTTTCCCGTCTTCTTACTCTTCCTGATGCTAAGAGGGAGGCAGACCCCGATGGCTCCAGCACGACCCCCTTCCTCCTCGCAGGAGGTCACTCACCTGGACTTGGCGGCTGGTCCAGGCACTCCTGGAAGGGGATTCCCAGAGCTGCAAGCCTGAACTGCCAGGTGCTGGGAAGAGCTGCAAGAAGGGAGCTTGTCTGTGGGTCAGACACAAACCCAAATTGTGTCTTTTCCCCCAACACACACACAGGGAGAACTCCTATTTCTCCCCAAACCAATGACCCAGAAGCTGCTCTTCTGATGGTGAACGCTTGAGTCATCTTTCTTTATGGGATGGTCATATTTTACAACAACATCATAGCTTGCCGGATCGGGCCCATCTAGTCCAGCATCCTGTTCTCAAAGGGGCTGAAGAGTTGCCTGTGGGGAGCCAGCAAGCAGGATTTTAGCACCAGGAGGGGCAGAACTGGATGTTCGCAAACGTGGCCCCCGCCAAGGGCACCCCCCCACAGGGCTGCCGAAATCATGGTACTTCGCCTGAACTTTCATTAATTTGTCCTGAGTCTTTTGGGGGTTTTGATGATTGCAGAGGTATTGCTCAAGACCTGTTTATCAGTGGTGTGCAAGGCTTACTTGGGCAAACACTAGCCTTGTGTAAGACTTCAGTGTTGAACTTTTTAAATAAGAATGGAAATGTCTGCCCCAGCCCCAGCCCCAAAGCACAAGGTGTCAGTTTTGCCCACTGGGAATCATGATAACCTTTGCTCAGAATTCACTAGGGACTAGAATCATAGAATAGAATCATAGAATCATAGAGTTGGAAGAGACCACAAGGGCCATCGAGTCCAACCCCCTGCCAAGCAGGAAACACCATCAGAGCACTCCTGACATATGGTTGTCAAGCCTCTGCTTAAAGACCTCCAAAGAAGGAGACTCCACCACACTCCTTGGCAGCAAATTCCACTGTCGAACAGCTCTTACTGTCAGGAAGTTCTTCCTAATGTTTAGGTGGACTAGGGCCTTGGTAAGGAAATCAACCCTGAGTGCTCACTGGAAGGACAGATCCTGAAGCTGAGGCTGCAATACTTTGGCCACCTCATGAGAAGAGAAGACTCCCTGGAAAAGACCCTCATGTTGGGAAAGATGGAGGGCACAAGGAGAAGCGGACGACAGAGGATGAGGTGGTTGGACAGTGTTCTCAAAGCTACCAGCATGAGTTTGACCAAACTGCGGGAGGCAGTGGAAGACAGGAGGGCCTGGCGTGCTCTGGTCCAGGGGGTCACAAAGAGGCGGACACGACTAAACGACTAAACAACAGGGCCTTGGTAGCCCTGGTCAGTTTAGGTATATGATGTAGGTTTAGCAGGGTCAGTCTGGAAGCTGCATCTGTGTGGGTGGAATGTATAAGAACAGGCTTGCAAACCAGTCTGTTTGTCAGGCAATGGCTTTGGCTGACTACTTAAGAACCATGATTAGCATAATCAAAGAATTGTAGAGTTGAGGGGTCATTTAGTCCAACTGCAATGCAGGAATGCAGTTGCTCTGTGCCATAGAACAGATGGGTACCTCCATCTGGTTTATTTCCACACATAAATCACTACCCACCAGTGAGCTTGACATTGATACCAGGAAAGGTCCGAGAACAGATAATTCAGCAGTCAGTCTATGAGAACTTAGAAAAGGATGCTGTGATTACTAAGACCCAACATAGGTTTCTCAGTGATAAGTCATGTCAGATGAACTCAATTTCTTTCTTTTGATGGAGTAACAAGCTTGGTAGATCAGGGGAATGCTGTGGACATAGGGTATCTTGATTTCAGTAAGTTCTTTGGACAAAGTCCTCCATGATATTCTTGCGAGGAAGCTGGTAAAATGTGGGTTGAACGAGGTAACTGTTGGGTGGATGTGTAGCTGGTTGGCGGATTGAACCCAAAGAGGGAGCCAGGGTGGTGTAGTGGTTAGAGCGGTGGACTCGTGATCTGGGGAACCGGGTTCGAGTCTCCGCTCCTCCCCATGCAGCTGCTGGGTGACCTTGGGCCAGTCACACTTCTCTGAAGTCTCTCAGCCCCACTCACCTCACAGAGGGTTTGTTGTGGGGGAGGAAGGGAAAGGAGAATGTTAGCCACTTTGAGACTTCTGAAGGGGAATGAAAGGTGGGATATCAAGTCCAAACTCTCTTCTTCTCCTTAATGGTTCCTTGTCATCCTGGGGCAAAGGGACAAGTGGGGTGCCTGAAAATCACCAGCCCAAAGGAGAGCCTCGCCTGGTGACCAGCACAAACCCCTTTCCCCTTCTGGCTCTTTTTTCCTCGGGTCAAGAGTCTCCAGGAGGTCACCATGGGTGAGCTGCACTTGACCAACCCTGTTCAGGGAAGTTTTTAGTGTGCGATGTTTCCTAAATTGAGCCACCACAAATTTAGGAAAGAGGCAGAATACCAGACAGAGCTGAAGTTGATGCATCAAATGGTGAGGAGTTGTGCAACTTCACCCAAAGTGTCAACACCCAAAAGCAGAATTAAAGCAATAGATGGGAGGGCAAATGCTGGACCTCAGTTTCAGTCCTCAGCATCTTTCTGATTGGCTTGGAAGGGTACAAAACAAGCAGAGCTGCTCAAGAGGAGGTCCAGGATTCAGCTAGAAGCACAGAAGAAAGAAGCCGAACTTGCCAACTCTTCAAGAAGGACACAAAGACTTCTGCTGGTCCCAAGAAACAGGGTCAAGGTAAGTTGAGGAGGGGAACTTCTTGCACATAATACCTGAATCCCAGAAAAGAGAGCTCAGCGCCTTATATTAGTCTGAAAGTGAGCCTTCCCTCAGTTTCTTGGAAGCACATTTAAACTCTTGGAGAACTTAAGTTCCCATAGCAGTTAATGAAAAAGATTGAAACTGACTAAAAGCTGTAGTGTAGAGATGCTGGGAAGCTCAGCCTAGTGGTTTCCCTTCCTCAGCCTTGGCCTTCCTCTGGTTCAGCCTATGCCAACTTCATGCCCTCTAGATGTTTCAGAGGACAACTCTCATCCTCTTCATGGGGCTGAGGAGAGCTGTAGCCCAAAGTAGCTGAAGGCCACCAGGCTGGCAAAGACTGCTCTGGGTTCAACACTCTGCTTCTGGTCCTGCCTCAACCCAGAGCAGTCTTTGCCAGCCTGGTGGCCTTCTAACTGCCCATTCCCCTCTCCTTGCAGAGACCACCTGTACCTTGGCTAGGCTACCTGCGGCTAGTGGCAGTTGGCATCCAACGAAAACATCACAGGTTCCCCATCCTGCTCCAATCCCTTCTCAGTCTGGTTCTCCAGGTCTTGTATTACTCCAACTGAAACTCTACTGGTTACTTCAGAGACATTACAAGCTCTTGCTTCTAATGTCTTCTCTTTCATGGCAGCCTTCAGGGGCACACCCCACCCCACTATTTTATTTCATATTTTACTCTTTGGGGGAAGAGCCATAGCTAGATGACCCGCAGGGTCCCTTCCAACTCTACAATCCTATGGTTCTAGGATTCAGTGATAGAGCACGCAATGCTTTGACCAGATGGTCTGGGGTTCGATTCCCAGCTGGGAGAGGCCTATATTCTGGAATCCTGGAGTCTGTGTAGACAATGCTGAGCTAGATGGAGCAATCGTACCTGAGCTTGTGTAAGACACCTTCCAGTGCTCCTGTGTCCCCCATGCTGTTCAGGGGGAGCCAGACCCCATGGCTCCAGCAAGCCATCTCTCTCTCATGTGCATAATAATAATTTTATTATTTCTACCCCGCCCATCTGGCTGGGTTTCCCCAGCCACTCTGGGTGGCTCCCAACGGAATATTAAAAACACAATAAAACATCAAACATTAAAAGCTTCCGTAAACTGCCTTCAGATGTCTTCTAAAAGTCAGGTAGTTGTTTATTTCCTTGACATCTGGTGGGAGGGTGTTCCACAGTGTGGGCGCCACCACCAAGAAGGCCCTCTGCCTGGTTCCCTGTAACCTCACTTCTCGCAATGAGGTAACCACCAGACGGCCCTTGGACGCTCCTTCAGGTCTACTGGGCCAAGGCCATTTAGGGCTTTAAAGGTTAGCACCAACGCTTAATTGTGCCCAGAAACGTCCTGGGAGCCAATGTAGGTCTTTTAGGACTGGTGTTATATGGTCTCGGTGGCCGCTCCCAGTCACCAGTCTGGCTGCTGTGTTCTGGATAAGATATATGCCGTCTCTCCCAACTGCAGGATGGTCAACTTCTGGACCCTGCTGCTGGCCCTGACATTCCTGGTAGAGACGGGACAGTCCCAGAGCTACAAATCAATATCTACAGGTAAGAACTGGGGAAGCAGGGATGTCTCTGGGCCAAATCAAAGCCTAGATGGTGCCTCCCCAAGATGTGGAGTTCCTTTCCTCACCCTCTTGCACAGGCTATATGTTGACATTTTGACACATGGTTATGATAAGGCGATTACCCGGGAGTCACCTCCACCCATTACGTAGGTTTGCCAATTTCCTAACAATCCATTGCAAAACACAAAAGCTGGATTGCTTTGTGGATGCCTCGAGAGCTGCCTCCTCACACTGCCCCCACGGGGGGGGGGGGTACCCACTTGCTTGCTTACTCTGAGGCTGCCTCTGCTTCTGGCACCCAGAACCCCCTGGCCAGCCCCAGAGACACCATTCGCCTGGGGAGCTTGAGGCCAGGGCTGCTGAAACAAAAAGCTGTGCAAGGCTTTGGGGGGCAGAGATGCGAGAGGGTATAAGAGGAGGGAGGGAAGGAAAGAGGGAGAGAAGCCAGTCTTGCCCATGGCACCCCTGACCATCCTTCAAGGCAGCCCAGGGTGCCATAGCACCACTGGACCAAATAATCCTCCAGGTTCCTTCCAACTTTACAGTTCTATGACTTTAAGTACCGTATATTTCGCTCCATAAGACGCACCTGACCATAAGAGGCACCTAGTTTTTAGAGGGGGAATGCAAGGAAAAAAATATTCTTCAAAGGGAGCACTGCGCAGAGCCTGTCTGCATCCCAGGCTCTGCTCAGCGCTCCCTTTCACGAGCCGCGTGGAGCGTGTGTGGGGCTCTTTAAAGGGAGCGCGGCTCTTGGGGGCTTTTGCAGGAGGTGGGGAAAGCTACGGAGCCGCACGCTTTCTCCCTTCCCCCACCTCCCGCAAGAGCCACACGCTAAGCCAGAAGCCAGGACAGCAAGCAGGATCGCTGCGGAGCGATCCCTCTTGCTGTTCTGGCTTATGAGATAGCCGCGTGCAGCCTTTCCTGGGCAGCGGGATGAAGGTGTTGGAAAAACACCCCCGGGAAGGGTGCCACCTTCCCAAGACACCAAGGCGTCTCGCCGGTGGTCACTCTCTGGCTGGAAATTGCCCTCAGTCCAGAGAGACCAGTAATAAGCAACCCCTCCATCCTGAGAGGAGCACACTTGGCTTCTGGTATCCCATCACAGAAGAAAGAGACAGTCAGTAGTCTACACACTACTTTATTTACAGACTGTACACGCAGCTCTCATCCGACATGTCTGCTCTCCTGAGCAGCAAGTACAGAACTCTCCAGTTACTGAGAACAAGCAGAGACTTCCTGTCTCACGCTCATAGACACCACATGATGTCAACAACCATTGTGCTGCTCCTCGCAGCAGGTGAGAAATAAAAATCCCAACATACTCCCCCATTTTTAGGTAACACTAGCTGCGAAAACAAGTGCAGCAACAAGAGACACAAACAAACAGTTGTTATACACATAGTAAACCCCTGTTGCACCAGTTCCATCTCTGGAACTACCTGCAGCTGGTTCCACCAGTTCAAACCTCTGGTTACCTGTTTTCCACGGGACTAGAGCTTTTGCTCTACCTTCGTTTGGAAAAACCGTGTTGCGTCTTGCAACCTTCAGGTGCGGCTTTGTCTCTGTCGTGGACAAACCTTGTACCCGCTGTGAGTTGCCAGCTACAGCTATACATGCAACAGCTGTGTTAGCAAACTCCTGAGAGTACCTCTTGGGTGGTATGCCCTTTGTGACTCTCTCAGATCTGCGAATGAGGTGCAAATCCTCCTTGCTGGCTAGTTCTTCCTTGGGACTTTTAGGAGAACCACATCCCCCCAAAGCCGCACACACGCTCCACGCGGCTCTTTAAAGGGAGCACTGAGCAGAGCCTCCCGCCTGCATTCACTCCATAAGATGCACACACATTTCCCCTTACTTTTTAGCTTACCGTATTTTTTGTCTTATAGAGCGGAAAATACGGTAAGCAAATTAACCATGTGCATTCCTCTTCCCCTCTTTTCCCCCTCCTGTGACTCTAGTACTGAACCTGGCCAAAGGACGACGAGCTTATCAGTCCTCCGTATATCCACATGCGAACGTTGGATCAGCAGACAAAGCTGTGGACGGCTTCTATGCTGGGAACTTCCACCAGGGCTCCTGCACCCACACCAACGCTGAGAAGAACCCCTGGTGGCTGGTGGATCTGGACTCAGAGTATGCCATCGCAGCTGTCTTGGTGAAAAACCGCGGCGACTGCTGTGGCGACAGGCTGCTGGGAGCCGAGGTCCGTGTGGGGAACACCATCGTGGACCATGGCAAATCCAACGCTCTGTAAGTTCCAGCTGCCAACCATCTCTTGGTCCCTGAACCTGAATGATCTCTGGGGGTTCACACTGGCGGGGAGGGGCTACTTCTTAGTCTCCTCTTGTATTTGTAATAACAGGGAAGAAAGTAGGAAAGAGGCAGATGCTGTGTGCAGACCACCAATGAAAGCACCCTGTTAGGTACTGAGTTGAATAGGATCCAAAAGGCAGCAGTCTGATTGGTCCTAGAACAATAGGGTCCAGAATGCAGCAGTCTGATTGGTCCTAGAACAATAGGGTCCAGAATGCAGCAGTCTGATTGGTCCACAGGAGCCACCCAATCCAGCTCCAGGTGGAAGTGAATCCACAACCTGATTGGCCTACAGGTGAATCCCGGAATTAGCCAATCACGTGGGGCCCATTGTGAAAATAATGTATATAAAGCAGACATTCTGGGGGAACTTCCATTCCTCCTCACTTCTGTGAGGGGCAAACTATCGTTCTGTGAGGGGCAAACTATCGTTCCCAGAATTCTTGTGAGAGGTGGTAGGGGCTTTAAAAGGTAAAGGTAAAGGGACCCCTGACAGTTAAGTCCAGTCGCGAATGACTCTGGAGTTGAGGCGCTCATCTCGTTTTACCTGCCGAGGTCCCTGGGCTGGATAAGGCCCAAGGGACTCATTTATCCAGCCTGCGGCGACCCCCACTGCCACCGCCCACTCTTACCGGTGCTGCGCTGCACAGCTGCCCACCTCTGGGTCGGAAATAGCTTGTGTGCATGCGCAAGCATTGTTTGTGCATGTACAAGTGTTATTTCCGGTGCACATCTGGGTCGGAGGAGGTGCATGCACATGCATACAAGCTATTTCTGGTGCTCCTCTGACCTGGAAGTGCGCCGGAAATAGCGGCCCGCCATGCAATCGGCACTGGAGACACCGGCCCGAGGTGCGGTAAGTTTGCTGACCTCTGGCCTAGCTGCACCACTGCGTTTGGGGCTTTAAAGATAATCTCCAGCCCCTTCAGTTGGGCCTACAAATTGGCTGCCCTTGCAGCTGTTGCAGAGCTGGTGTCATATAATCCCAGGGGCACTATGACATCCTTGCTGCGGCTCCTTCTGTTTTTTTTTTTTAATAAATTTTTTCATTAAGGTTTTAAACAAACAAAAAAGAAAAACAACACACATAAAAAACAATACATAACTTAACAATAAAAACACAAAACATAACAATTAAAAACTCTCTTTTCCATTTCCAATTTTAAATTACTTATTTTCTGGACTTCCTCATACCTCCCTCTTTTGTATTCCAATCCACATTATTTGTCCAGCAGTTTCTTTTCCACTTTTTTAATCCCAATCTTTAATTTAATAAAACGTTAAAATATATAACCTCAACTTTTTTAAACCTAATCCTTGATCTTAATGTCATATAGCTTAAAATTTTTCCCTTTTATTATCAAATTTCCATTTCTTAAAACATCTTTAATCTTGATCCTTAATCTTAATCTATCCTTAACTTTAACCTATACAGCTGGAAACCACTTATTTTCAGTCCAACATCACTTTACCATTCCTTAATTTTGCAGTGTTTCTGAAGATAGTCTTTGAATTTCTTCCAGTCTTCCTCCATCGACTCTTCTCCCTGGTCACGGATTCTACCAGTCATTTCCGCCAATTCCATATAGTCCATAAGTTTCATCTGCCATTCCTCCAGCGTGGGAAGTTCTTGTGTCTTCCAATACTTTGCGATGAGTATTCTTGCTGCTGTTGTTGCATACATAAAGAAAGTTCTATCCTTTTTTAACACCATTTGGCCCACTATGCCCAGGAGAAAGGCCTCTGGTTTCTTCAAGAAGGTATATTTAAATACCTTTTTCAGTTCATTATATATCATTTCCCAGAAAGCCTTAATCTTTGGGCACGTCCACCAAAGGTGAAAAAATGTACCTTCAGTTTCTTTACATTTCCAACATTTGTTATCGGGCAAGTGATAGATTTTCGCAAGCTTGACTGGGGTTATGTACCACCTGTATATCATTTTCATAATATTCTCTCTTAAGGCATTACATGCCGTAAATTTCATACCTGTGGTCCATAACTGTTCCCAGTCAGCAAACATAATGTTATGTCCTACGTCCTGTGCCCATTTAATCATAGCCGATTTTACCGTTTCATCTTGAGTATTCCATTTCAGCAGCAAGTTATACATTCTTGACAAATTCTTGGTATTGGGTTCTAACAATTCTGTTTCTAATTTGGATCTTTCCACCTGGAAGCCAATTTTCCTGTCCAATTTAAATACCTCCATTATTTGATAATAATGAAGCCAGTCTCGCACTTTGTTTTTTAGTTTTTCAAAACTCTGCAATTTCAGTCTATCTCCGTCTTGTTCCAAAATTTCCCAATATTTCGGCCATTTGACCTCCATATTGACCTTTTTCAAGGCTTTCGCTTCCATTGGTGACAGCCACCTTGGAGTTTTATTTTCTAGCAAATCCTTATATCTTATCCAGACATTAAACAGCGCTTTCCTGACAATGTGGTTTTTAAATGCTTTATGTGCTTTGACCTTATCATACCATAAATATGCATGCCATCCAAATACATTATTAAAACCTTCTAGATCCAAAATGTCAGTGTTTTCAAGAAGTAGCCATTCTTTCAACCAGCAAAAGGCTGCTGATTCATAGTACAGTTTAAGGTCTGGCAGGGCAAATCCACCTCTTTCCTTTGCATCCGTTAATATTTTAAATTTTATTCTGGGTTTCTTGCCCTGCCAGACAAATTTAGAGATATCTTTCTGCCACTTCTTGAAACAACTTGCTGCTGCTCCTTCTGGTCCAGCTCAGTTCCCAAAGACTCTTACATGCAGAGCCCATTGCAGTGACCCAACCTGGCTGTCATAATAAAGGCATGTGCTATAATGGCTAGGGATGCGGGAGAAATTCGATTCAAGTGGCATTTAAAGGCAAACTTACCCAATCCACACTTTCTGAGGGAATAAAGGGACCCCTGACCATTAGGTCCAGTCGTGGCCGACTCTGGGGTTGCAGTGCTCATCTCGCTTTATTGGCCGAGTTTGCCGGCGTACAGCTTCCGGGTCATGTGGCCAGCATGACTAAGGCGCTTCTGGCAAACCAGAGCAGCGCACGGAAATGCCTTTTACCTTCCCACCGGAACGGTACCTATTTATCTACTTGCACTTTGACGTGCTTTCAAACTACTAGGTGGGCAGGAGCTGGGACCGAGCAACGGGAGCTCACCCCGTCGTGGGGATTCAAACTGCCGACCTTCTGATTGGCAAGTCCTAGGCTCTGTGGTTTAACCCACAGTGCCACCCCCGTCCCAGGGTGGCTTAGACCAATTTAAAAACAAAAGGATCTCATTAAGAACATCAAAATTGAAATAGGCT